GACAGTTGGCTCTTTTGCCAGTTTATAAGGAACCCGTGGGCTTGGAGGGCAGAGAGAGTAGCCCTGGTGTCCCTCTCTGCCTGGCGTCTGGAGGGGGATAGGATGAGGATATCATCCAGATAACAGTGGAGGCGTATGGGAAGGTTCCTAAGATGAGCCGCTAGTGCCGTGAGGACCTTGGTAAAGGTCCTAGGGGCCGATGCCAATCCAAAGGGGAGGGCCACATATTGGAAGTGGTGATTGTTGTAACAAAACCTGAGGAATTTGTAGTGGGAGGGTCGGATTGGGATGTGTAAGTATGCTTCTGAAAGGTCTATAGAGGAGAGCCAGTCCCCTTTCCTGGTACCCAGGAGAATAGACTGTAAGGTGTGCATCTTAAACTTGCGATGGATCCTCTGGGCCTTCCGCTGAGGAAGGGGGGGCAGAGGGAGACTGAGTGTATAGGCCAGAGATGTTTTTGGCCTTAAAGAGTAGTGATTTATACAGGTGTGGCTTAAACAGACCCACAAATGTGGGTTGGTTGGGGGTGAGGCCCTCATCCTCGGACATCTCCCCCTCCATTGGCTCTGTCTCCGATAGGGGTTCACTGTAATGTGTTGATCCTAATTCGAATTCTTCCTCCTCCCTGAATTGATCAAGGCCCCCTTCCTCCTCCTCCTGCTCCCTTTCTGGAAGAGGGCTGTCCCTCTGTGAGAGTACCTGACCGTGAGGAGGATCCGATCTTGGTAGGGATCTGACGGATAGAGACTCATGATCGGGGGCCATTGGGAAGAAGCCGGGTCTGGACATTTGTTGGAGACCTTCTGCAATTCCCTGGTGGATAGCCAGTTCCATCCATGATCTCATTTGCTCTGGGACCTCGACTGTGGGAGGTTCCTCTTGGTGCAGACCAGCGGCCGTAGGAGTAAAGGTGGCTTTGGGTGTCCGTCTGGTCGTTGTTCCAGGGGCCTGATGACCCTGGGGTGAGCCGCGCCTGGATAGGGAAGAATAGTCTGGAGGAGGGGGGGTTGAGTAGAGGTGGAAGGAGTGGGAGGTGGGAGGGCTGGAGGCACCGAGCGTGACTCCCTGGTTCACCTGTCGAATTCCTTCTCCAACGCCTTATGGCGCCTTAAGGCATCCCTCTGAGAGGCCTTGGAAGTTTCCTTAGCCTGCCTGCGCAAATGGTGAGATTTCGATTTGGCCTTCAAAGAAGGGCCTTTAGAAGAATTGTCATCTGCCATTTTAAAAGGTAATGAGCCAATTAGCCGAATGAACGCCTGAGGCCAAAAGGAAAAGAGAGAGATAAGGCCTCCAGCAGCTGTCCTCCCAGGCGAAAACTGGGAGGGGGGGCACTGCTGTTACTTCGCCCTGAGTGTGGCTGCGGGATGGGCCAACAATATAAATAGAAAAGAGCCAAGGTAATTACAATAATCCGCTTATGAGGAACAATGCTCTAAACCGGCTGATAGGGCCTGTTTTGGTGAGCTAAATTGGCCCGCAGCAGGAATAGCGAGAAGCGGAGAAACAAAAATGGCGCCCGACCATGAGGCAGCACCCAAAATGGCGGCCGCGAGCTGAGCAAGGGTGTCGGGGCCTCTCAGGACGGAATTATGCTCCTCCGGCGAGCTCAGAGTGCCGAGAGGGGCAGCGCAGGAGAGAGTCGGCTCTTCCTGAGCGATCGGCGTTCGTGGGGGGGGGGAACCAGTGGCGCTTTAAAGCGCGAGAGGATCAAGCCGCTAACGAGGGCGGCGTGGAAGGCGGCAGGGAGAAAATTAGATCAAGGATGGGGGGGGTTAGCGCGAGAGCACTGCAAAGCTGCCGGCTTTTTTTCCCCTTAGGGGCGAAGGAAAATGCTCCCCTGGATTAACACCAATTGCGCAGAGGCTAAGAGAAAGAAGAATCAAACCTGATCACAGAAATAAGAGGATATCCTGAATCGGCCAAGGAGCTTGCTCTAAAAACAGCCTGTCTCTCACAAGGCTGAGCAAAACTGGGGAACGCTACGTGGAGTCACGTGGAGGAGGAGGAGCGTTCCTCAATTCAAGCTCAGCCTGTGAGAGCGGAGTCTGAAGCACCTCCCACTCCCACTCTGGATGCTCCGAGCAGCTCTATGGAGAACAAATGGCATGGCTAAGAGAAAACCTCTAAGAGAAGATAGAATAACAGATCTTGAAAGGACTCTTGGAGGTCATCTAGTCCAACCCCCTGCTTGAGCAGGAGAGTCTATTCCAAATATTAGTCTCTACCTAGGATCGAACTCACAGCCTCCTGATTGTGAGGCAAGAGATTCACCTCTAAGCCACCGCTTCAAATGAAGTTCAAACTGCAAGATCCAGGACTGGCAAATAATTTCTGGATGGAAGAAGTTACGAATGAAGACGAATATATAGGTGTCCCAGGATAATGTTGCAGGATCCAATCTGGGTCAGTCATTGGGACCAGAGATGTTGTCTTCCAAGCTTTCAGAGTTGTCTTCACAAGCCTTTTGTGCTGGAGCACATCTTCAGGGAACTTCTCTCTATCAGAGTGTGTCTTGATAGGAGACAGTGGGAGAAGGGTCAAATTTTGTAATAGATGTGGTGAAGGTATGTTGCTTGGATACCAGCAATACTGCAGGGATAGAGAATCCTGGATCCAGTGGTGTATTAACCATTAAGCAGATTAAGCACATGCTTAGGGCATCAGACCCAACGGGTAATCACAAAAACTTTTATGTAGCCTAAGCTTGGCTTCGTTTGTACAGTATGTACAAAGGAGGGGAGGCATGAAGATTTGTCAGTACTTAGGGCACCAGTGAGCCTTAATCCACCACTGCCTGGATCACTCCACATAAACATGCAGCATGACTTATTTTAATGTTCAGAATACACCTTAAAGGATACTCCTGACAGCCGGATAATCAACCTGAATCCATTTGCTTCAATGGAAGCCTTCATCATGTGCTAATTATTCAATGGCACCTCAGATCCAGAAACACAAACTGAATCATTGCAGCTGCAATGTTCAGAGAGATCCAGCAAAAAACCTTTCACCCTGAAGATTTTCCTACATAACCAAAAAGGAACAGATAGAAGACTTTTGTTCTTGGAAAGACATTAAGTGTTTGCTAACAAATCTAAACAAGGAAAAAACCCTGCAAAAAAAGGAAATGAAAACATTTCAAAAGAATACTTGGGAACTCATGGAATGATCTGTAAGGAAAGAAAATAATGGGATGAAAGTGGGTTTTCAAGATCCAGTGCAATATAGAAGTGGATGACCAGCACTATAAAGCCAGAAGGCAAAGGGATAGATTAAAAATATGGTGTGAAAAAAAATGTAGATCTGTTGTTGGGAAGGGAGGAGAGAACCGTTGCAGGGGCAGAAAAGTTTACTCAATTCTGAGAAAATAATTCAAAATAGCCACATCTTGATTTTATCTGGCATAAAATATGGTGAAGAAATTTTTTGACAGGATTGCAAGTTACTGCTATTTTATTTTATTACAACAAACAAATCTCTGCTGCTTGTTTCTTGACCTTGGTTATTTCAAAAGACTAACAGATGAAGACTATGATGAGACTTTTGCCATAACACTTCAATATAAACGCTGCTCAGTATAGCTACAGCTGGGAATATGCCGATGCACCACGTTGATATAAAGTTTGGATTTCTGCATGGAGAAATTTAGGAAGACATGTATGTTGAGCAGTCACCTGGTTTTGAGGAACCAGGAAAGGAAGACTTGGCAGAACACAAAACAGGCTGTAAATCCTTAAATGGGTGGCTGTTCTTCAAATGAGATGGGCAGTTGTTATCTTGTTGTCCCCAGACGTAGATATGTATCAGAAGCACAATCATGCCAAGAGACTGAACTATTAAAGGACTTTGAGATTATGACTCAAAGACAATAACAACTACAGGTACTGTCAGTTCTTCCTAATGGGGAAGACTGCATTAGAATGAAGCACATAAACATAGAGTATATTATGCACAAGATACACAGTAAAAGGGACTAATTGAAATCCTGCCCATTAAAAGAGATGTGGCAGATGACCTACAAAGTCTTTGCCCAAAGATTGATACAGGTAGATGGAAGTTATGGCTTAGGGTTTGAATTGGTGAAAAGGGTGTTGCAACAATGACTTCAATTGCCCTGGCTCTGGAAATCTCATGACCTACAATGACAAGGGGCAATAAGATAGATAGGAATTGTCTGTGTGCTTTCTGTTTATCCCTTTCTACTCTTAGTTTGCAAAACTGCTAATTCTCAGGTTGCTTTTTGCCTGCTTTTGTCCTCGCGCACATCTGTTCTCTTTATTCTTATTTGAAAGGATGTTGTCTTGATAATGCCCATATATTTCTCTAATAAAGCCTCTTTGTGTTTAAATTAAAAAGGTGCCTAATTAAACTCATTTTCCACTGCTCAAGAACATAGAGGTGTTTCCTTCAACAGTTTTTTTTAAAATACCAATCACATGCATTTCTTTTCCTGGTGCAACATCTGTTTAAGTGTATAAATGGCAATTAGATAATTTTGCATCTCCTTTAAGTCCTGTTCTGAGGCTGGAAATATCAGAATTTTCTGATTAATCTTTGCAGGGATACAAAAGGGATACATCCACTCATGTCCTGAGGAATGCAATTCAATTCCTCAAAAGAAAATGAGAGAAAGAAGCCAGGTCTACTAAGTTTTACTGGGTGTTCCTCAGGTTCAACAACCCTGTCTAAACTCAGAAGAAGAACAAGCCACATATTTTAGTGGCATTGAGGAAATTGGTATGGAACAAATCTTTTAATTCATAACATACCACACATGCCATCTCTTTCAGTTACTGCAGTTGTTCTGGATGATTGTTGGATAATTAATGTAGACTATTGCAGCATAAAATGGTGATTGGGATTACTTGGAAAGAACAAATATATCTTGTCTTTTGTTCTTAGAATAGAAATAGGTAAGAAATAGACTGCAGAGGGGTGAGAGAAAATGAGAAATAAAAAACATATTTCCTGTCTCCTTATTTTTGTTTGATTTGTTTTTTTCAGAGAGTGAATGCTAGGCAGAATAAGCCATTTGGAATGTTTCTTACGTACATTTTATAATTAAAATCCAACCAATTGGAAGCTTTGTTGATTAGGCTTTAAAGCCTTGAAATATTGGTGTTCACTTACAAGACAAGCCCTCCAATAACAGTGTTGACTTTTCATATCTCATTTCTTTAAGAAACTAAAATAGTAAAGCTACCACAAAATACTTTTTAGAGATGTAATTAAAAAAATAAAAGATTGATTGGAAAATATAATATAACTGTGCTAAGTGAATGACAGTAGAGTAAGATGGCTACTTGGCTGGTATAGACAGATGGTGGACTGGAGAGGGTTGAATTCTGGCAGCACAAGAAGAACATGACAGAATTAGATAGATTCCACATAGTTAGCTGGATAAAGACCAAGTTGCCCGGTGTCCAGACGTCCTCTGCACCACCCTTGTTCGTCTTCTTCACCTAATTTGGTTAATTCATCACCTAGGAAAATAATGATAAATTGCAAATTGGGTGCACACTATCAATCTGATATCCCCTCTCTAACTGATTTCATCCTGTCTCCCAACAGTGTTTCCCTACACTGTTCTGTTGTGTATTTGATATTGAGTTACATATATGTAAAACTTATGTGGGAAAAAGTAAGAGGATATGTGATTTTGTATGAGAAAATGATCAGTGGGAAAAGAATATAGTGTACCTTCATACTGTGACTTCAGAAGACTGCCTTTTTATTAAAAACAAAATAGAAAGTTTTCTTAGGGCTGCGAAGTGCTCTAGATCAGAGGTCTCCAAACTTGGCAACTTTAAGACTTGTGGACTTAAGAATTCTGGGAGTTGAAGTCTGAACTTAAGCTGAATTCTTAAGTTGCCAAGTTTGGGGACCCCTGCTCTAGATTACACTGCTGCATTTTGCAGAGGTCAGATGACCCCCCCCCAAATGACACAGCTATTTCAAAAAAAGTTGCAAATGCATACCTGCTTTGAAACTCAGCTCATCCTGCTCTTGCCCATCGTAATCATACAGAGCTCGTACACGGACACCTTTCCCAACTGTTTCTTCTTCAAAGGAATTGGCACCACCATTGGCTTCATTGGAGTTGTAAGTGTTGCCACCCTCATCATCTGACCACTCTCCAGGGTAGGCTTGGCCACGTTCATAACTGCTGACACTGGTAATGGAACACAGCATCATAAGGAATGATATTACTTAATAAATATCTGATATATCTAACTCTGTGGGACAACTGGAGATAGTGAGACTCTGATACTCAAGTCTATTCTAAGCATTCTATCTTGACAGGCTCAAACTGGAAACATCTCACATACTTACCTGCCACTATCTCCTCCCTGTGCTGTTGCTTCCCCACCTCCACTGGCATTGGGTGTGTTGCCTCCCTCATTCTTTTTTGGTTTCTCTCTTCGGTTTATTGTTTGTGTTGCATCTGGATTCCATTCCTGCAGATGAAAAAAAAAAAAAACCTAATCTCAAAGCCTCAGTTTCCAATGCTTCAACTGCACTATGACTCAGCTCCAGTTTTAAGAACATAATAAACACATCCCACTTCTTGCAGTGGTTTACCATGTGGTTCTGGTAAAACCAGAAGTAGGACATAGAAGCTATTCTAAAGTTACTTCAGTATTCAGAGAGGTAGAATTCCATTGCAGGGAGCATCATCAGGAGAGGATAACATCTCTGTGTCCTAGTTTTTCTAGGCACATGGACCATGGCTCTCTCAATTCTGAAGCTCCAGATATCCATCATGACTAATAGCCATGGATTTATAACCTACAGCTTGGCAGTGCAGCCATCCTTGGAGGTATCATCCTGCGACAGCTTCTTACTTCTAACTGAGGCCAGTTCATAGGCATCCCGGGGCCACAAGTGTTGCGGAACCACCGAAGGTCTTCTTGTGCATCGGCCACACGAATGGTCTGCTCCAGCTCACGGTAGACTTTAGAATAGCTGCATATTACAAATAGATAAAGTAATAAACACAGGATTGAAGTAAGAAACCACCATTAGACACATTAGACAAAGAAGCTTGATGGCATAGCAAGTAGAAAACCTTTAAATGACAATATTATAGCATAATCACCTTGCCCTATTCATAGGATTATGAATTATATTTTTATTTATTGATATTCATTCTACCACATTTAAATCCCATTTACTTTGTATAAACAAACTTTATATGGGTTCCTGAAGATATCACCCTTCTTCCATGATTTCTCCCAGCACTTTTTTTCAAGAGAAATCTGCTAATAAGGAGAGGGCAGAAAATATTGATGGTTCTGCAAGTGGTTTGGCATGGAAAAGGTTCTACTTTAGAAAATATTTCTGAAATATTTAAAAGCTTTATGCCACACAGCAGAGAATAATGAGATTGTGAGATAAACAGACTGTATGTACCTAATTTATGACAGTAGCCCTTACATTTTGGAGGATTACAGAGTGTATCACAAAAGCATCCCAGATGATAGAAGACAGAGTCCAAAAATCTATGTAGAATCTTCATTTAAAAAAAGGAAATTATCACTCAACTTGTTCTAATAAAGCTCAACAACACACTGAATGTGCCCAACATTGCAGTTTCTTATTTTAAAGATGCCTCCAGGCCAGACTTTGAATGGAGAATCATTTTGTTTCATTCATGAAGTTTTACAGAGCTGCTAACAAAATCAACTTCCACTTCTGTGGCTCCCATATTTGTTATTCTCACCCCCCCTCCCCCGCTACAAAGATATTAGATTACAGAGAAGATGGAGTAACTGTTCAAAGCTGGTTTGGTTGTATCAGCCACAATCCAAACAAAAGCAGTTCAGGGAAAGACCTTTGTTAAAAGTCCCTGTATTAGATGACTCAGTTTCTTCCTGCATGGAGGTGGGTGGGAATTTGATTAGGAAAAAGGGGTGGAAGTGGGGTGTTGCAAAATGCAGCAAAACTACTGCAGTAAAGAATGAATAGCTGGTGAGTAGACCAGCTCTTCAAACCTCTCCAGAAAAGGAAAGGACTTGAGATCACCCACAAGTACTCCAGACAGTTGCTCCTGAGGAGACCATAATATAGTGGTGGTGTCTGATAGGTTTCGAGCAATGGGAATATCCATCAGCTCTTAGTCATTTCCAATGAGGTGAGCAGCCATCTAAATTTGATTAATAAATAAATTTTGCTCATACCATAGTTGGCATCTTTAAAATTTAGCACACTTCCTTTTCTAAGCACTTTAAAAAATTGCTTGTTAACTACTTTTCAGCTATTCAAAATTGTTGAACTGACAAGTTTGACAGCACTGGGTGAGTTTCTTTCAATCCTTAGTGAAAGAAAATTTTAACTACAAGTTTAAAAAGAATTATTAAGGAGAAATTTCCTGACAGAAAAATTAATCAGTGAAACGAGTTGCCTTAGACGTTGTGGGTGCTCTAACACTGGAGATTTTAAAGAAGAAATTGGACAACCATTTGTCTGAAATGGTATAAGGCCATGATGGCAAACCTATGCCACATGTGCTGGAAGTGGCACGCAGAGCCATTTCTCCAGACACATGAGCTGTCACCCTTTGCTCTTCCAGGTTCCAGCACACTGGCCAGCTGGTCTTCACATGCATGGGAGAGCCAGAAACCAGAAGAGCAGCTGACTGTTGCGCATGTGCAGCTCTCTTTTGGTTTCTGGTGTGTGCAGGCGCACCAGAGACCTGGACTTCATACGCGCATGTGTGCCAGAAACTGAAAGACCAGGTGGCCGGGGCGCATGCGTGCGCCTGAAATTGGAAGAGCAGCTACTCAGCACACACATGCGCACTGGGCAGCTGCTCTTTTGGTTACCGGCACGTGCACGCTCCCATTTTGGCACTCGGTGCCAAAAAGCTTCACCAACACTGGTATAGAGCTTTCTGGACTAGAATACCCCTAAGGTTCCTTCCAACTCTGTTATTCTGTTATTAACTTAACTGGGGAAGGGAAAAAACAGCAAAAGGGTTACTAAGGCTTTTATTTTAGAAAGTTACAAATAAATTAAGGGTCCAGATAGATTTTAAATAACATTTTGGAATTAATGATAAAGAACACTTCCCGTGGGAAAATGCTATTGTTTTGAATTTAAAAAAAGACATATTAAGGAAAGATTTAAAAAATGAAGACACTAGAGAGAACTAAAAATTACAGTTAAAGGAGAAGAACACAAAATATAATTACAGAATGGAGCACAATATTCTAACATTGAACATACTGAAATATATTTTTGTAAAAGAGACTCAGAAGTTAATATTAATAGTGTCAACAGAGATAATTGCCTCTATGGATAAATTGTTGTGAAACCTTTACCTGACGAGACTGAGACTGTCGATTTTACAAATAACAGGCTACAAGAAACATGGGAAAAGATCTTACACTAGATATATAAAAGAAACCAGTTGATTCTTTAATAATTCAAAGGCAAACAATAAACCAAGAGAGTGATCTGAATAATTTTCCTATCTTGGATTTACAAACGAGAATTATTAAAATTTGGAAGGATCTTATGAGAAGGGATAAGGTTTACAAATTTATTTGAATGCACTGAAAATTGTTAGAAGTAAAAGCATGGACTATAATGTTAATTAATTTGATTACAGTTAAAATAGATAAGTTACTATTTCTGGTCTTTAATAAATCTTTGCTGACATCAGGACTGAAATTATAGTGCCTTATGGTTGTTTATAAATATGGGATATGGAGAAGAAGAGATCATTTGTTGTATTTTAAGTGGAAGTGATAAATCACTAAAATAGTTTATACTTGTGATGAAGATGGAAAGTCACCACTGTATATATTTCTTTTTTCTTTCCTTCTTCATTTTCTTTTTTGCACCTTTTAATCTTTTTATTTTAGTTTGTATAAGTTCCTACTATCATAATCACAATCTTTTACAAAACTACTATAAAAAATAAAAAAGAGATTTATGTTAAACATCTTCAGGTAGAAAATGACTGTTAGATTTCTACTAGATGTAGTAGAAAATGACTCTGTTAGATTTCTACCAGAAGTAGTATTTCCTTCTTAATAAGAAGCTTTACATATCCACATTCAGTCTGAACTGGTACAATCTTCATTTTTTTATTAACACAAAGTCCTGCAAATAGAAAGAGAACAACTGTGGCAAAAGCAAGCAAAGGTAGTAGCAATAGTAATAGGCACCTTGGGTACAATCCCAAAATAATTGGAGCACCACTTGAACATCATCGTCATTGACAAATTTGCCATCGGTCAGTTGCAGAAAGCAGCTTTACTTGGAACAGCTTCCTTCCTGCAACCATATCTGTAACGCCATCAAACATTCAGATTTGCCTATCCCAGGTCCTTGGTAAGGACTTGATAAGTAGACAAAAATGCCAAACCCAGTCTGAACATCTGGCTGACTGTGCAATTAATAATAATAATAATAATAATAATAATAATAATAATAATAATAATAATAATAATAATAATAATAATAATAATTCTACCTGCTGTTCTCTGCCAGGTTCAGGTGTCGCTTGATATCTAACAGCACTTCTTTCAGGAAATTAAGCCGCTTCTCTTCAAACTGCTGGCATTGCTCAAAGACCTGCTCCATGCTCTCCATGTACTGTGGAGTGCCCTTTTTCACCTCCTCCACAACTTTCTCATATTTTTCCAGAGCCTGTCCAGAGAACAAAGGAACATGGTTCAGTTTCCCTGACTAAGGCCACTGCTCAATCCTATCCATGTAAGATTTTCTGGGTAGGTAGGCATGTATAATTTTGCTCTTTTAAGTACAACATTGATACAACATTATTTACAGATTACCCATAGAAGTAATAAATAAAATAAAATAAGACATAATCACAAATAAACTTGCATAAGGATTTCAATCTTGCCCACATTATGAGTTTATTCCGTATCAGCACTGAATAAACATTAATCTCAGCTGCAGTTAATGTCAGCTGCAGCCACCTCTATTGGAAGCATGATTTAATATTGTTCCTGGAACTTGTTATGCAAATAAGAAACAAAGTTTCAAGTTAATTCTGAATTTAGAAAATACAGTCACCATGTGTGAACTTGTGACAGTGTCACTAAATAGTCTTCTGATAGGATTTCTGTTTCAGATTCAAAAAAGAAAGAATAGCAGCGGATATGGAAAGTGATTATTGGGCCTTACATAATACACACAAATAAACAATTTAAAGTATGAATTGTACTTTCTGAGGTGATCAATATATCTTGTCTACAGACAGAAATGAATACATTTGACATGTATGCTTATATCTCCATCTATATCTAAACACGAAGATGACTATTTTTCCTGTGTGCAATTATATATTTCTGCATGTGATAGTGATTGTGTACATAGAGGACTGGGCTGGATTGCTGCTTGCTCATATAAAAGGATATGCATTAACTTTCAGAGTTATTTTGGTGGAGGTCCTTCCTACCTTTTGTACATCTTGCTTGCATTTTTCTACTTTGTCTTGAAGCTTCTTTTGCTGGTCTGGCGTAATAGATTGCTCAGCTTTGCTATTAGCTTCCCGGGTCATAGCAAGTTTCTCCTCTTTGCATGCCAAGTGATATACTTTCTTGGCTGTTTCCAGCTGGTTTGAGAGACAAGAGAAAGAACCCAGACAAATTATTTCAGAGGGTCAGCATAAGTTATCAAATCCTTGCCGCTGGTGAATCTTCTGCACAGAGATTGTAAGTAATGTTCTAGCATCCAGCAGGCAATTCCTTCCCAATAGAAATTCTCCAATTTCATTAATGAAGTCTATGACCTGAGGTGATCTTCACTGGAGATTATGGGAATTGCAGACCAAATCATCTGGAGGATATCAAATAAATAAAATATTTTAAGAATAACTGTATTATGAAATGAGGAATCCTAACTTGCTATCTCCATAAACTGAACAAAATACACGACTTCGTTGCATGCTTTAATTTATTGACATACTATATTTCACAGTTTTCTTAGCAACCATGAAAGTTTTGGGTTTAAAAATTTGTAGAAGTTGAGAAGTTAAAACATGAACCTTATAGCCATGCAGTTCATAGATAGTGATAAATATTACTTCTGTAGAGATATCACCTCAGCAAGAGACTAATTAAGGTTGGCCTTAATTTATACTTGGATGGGGGAATCACTGGGAATTCCAGGGCTATACATTAGGTTTTTTTTTAAAAAAAGAACACCCACATTTTGGAAGAATATTATGGCCTACTACATTTGTACCACTGCTAACAAAACTGCAGGGATACATTTTTAAAGCACTGAGCCCAACTTGAGAGCTTTTGTCATTTTTAATCTGCATACAGAGCATGGGAATTACTTCATATAGTATCTAAGGGTGTAATTTAACTCACAGTTTTCATGGATGTCTTCCATGAGGTCCCATGGTTGCACAAAAGGCTGATGGGGTTCTATGAAAGACTGGAGGGTAGGGAATAACATTCAATTGAATGCAGCCAGTTTTCTATAAACTATACATTGCATGAACTTCAATGACCAAGGATGAGAAACACTGAGCTAGAACTTTGCCTCTTGGCCAGGAATTCCTGTTTTTCCTTCACTGTTAGGTTCTGCAATCTGGAAAATTTTGAAAACTCCTGATCTAAACCACAAAGAAAGGGGTTCTATAGATCATGGCCCAACACTGATGTTTCCTTTCCATGTTTTCATATTATCCTGCCTTGGTTATCTTAAGAATCAACAGACATGTTTTGGTCCCTTGCTAATTTGCTGCCCCCCACAAATGTATAGGGTTCTGCAAACAAACTGGCATTGCAACTCTCAAAATCCCAGTCAGTCTGGCAATGGGAAATTTTCATCTCAACATAACTGGAAAATATCAGGTTAGGAAAGTTGTTGTCAATGAAAGAAAGGCCATGTCAACCTCTGTAAAGTAAACTGTAAAGTAAGCTGGGGTTAAGAAGCCCTTTGTTATCTTCTCTCCTCCACTCCTTCCTACCTCCTTCATCTTCTTGGCCCAGGGTTTTTGTGCTTTCCGAAAACCGTCTTCTGCTTCCTTGGCCTCCTTGAAGCCTCCAATGATCTGTTTGTGGAAAGCATCCTTCTGCCAGTTCTTCACCTTTTCAAAATCATCATTCAGTAGGCTATTCTTAACTTCTTGGTGTAGTTCGCTGACTTTGTCTGCCTCTGTCATTATAGCCATCCATGCCTTCTCCAAACTGCCATACTGGGGACCTATGCAAAAACATCACCAGGTAAAGAGAATGGCTCAGCATCCTGAAATAACGGCCCATTTTTTTCTGTACAGACTGAATGCTCCTATAATGCACTCAAAAGTTGAGAGACTGTTCTATTTTATTAACAAATGAATTGTTGAGAGAGCAGAGAAGCCCGCAGTGATGAAGCCTAAGGGAGCCTCTCAGATACCCTAGCTGCAGACTTGTGATCATTGTTTGTGACTGTAAAAGATCCAGTCACTTTACAAGTCTCATATCAACTCACACCGATATTTAAATCAGTAATCATGAGAGCCACTCTAAAAATCATGAAGTGGAAGATCAAATCTTCAGGGAATTTATTTTTTAATGAACAACATCATGGCTGCTTTGAAAACTGAAGCAGTGGTAATGGCAGATGGTTAAATGCTCACTCCTCCCAGGACTCAGTTCCTCAGTCCTCAAAGCAATTGCAAGAGCCTGTTTATGAAGCTAAATATTGGCAACCTGCTGCCCTCCAGATATTTTGGATTACAAAATACATAGCCCCTTGCTATCAATCATGCTGTCAGATCTGATCGGTGTTCAAGATGCAAAAGCTTGGAAGACATCAGTTTGCTCATACCAATACCCAACTGCCTGAACAAAAGAAATGCCTATAATTCTGCTCCCTTTCGTCATGCCTTCATCACGCGGAATAGGATGTCAGGATTCCGGCAGTTACTCCAATTAAATCATGAGCCTCGAGCCACACTCCCAACACTTGAAAGGATTTATTAGAAACTAACATGCCAGCATTAACCTAGGTGAAGCCGACTCTGAGATACGTAATTCACTGTCACCCTTGATCCTGCTTCCCCACCCCCCACCCCTCTGGGTGTATCATCCAACAAAACACGTCCATAGCCAAGAGTCATCAATCATGCTCTCTAATTAGATTTTTGTGCGGCAGAAGCTTCAGTCATCTAATCAGTCTCTGAAGAAAATATGAATGGAATGGACTTTCGATTCCACATTGCTGCCTGCTCTTTGAAACTCCCCCCACTTCTTTCTGTTGACAACTATAAAATGTATGTACAAAATGTTTTATGAGTTGACATAGGATACCATGCTGGTATTGAATATGTACTGCTTTATATTTACAAGTAAGATTATAATTATGTATTAATTCAGTGCAAGGAAGCTCCACACTGAACTGGATTAGCTTCTTAATAAGCATGCATTTCATTGAACTGTGATATTTACAAAATTTGTAAACTTTTAATGGTGCTCTGGCTCATTTTGATTGAATGGCTTAATATATTACATACTACTCTTAAATTTGAATTGTTTTTATTGCAATAATCTTGGACACACTTTTATCTGGAAGTAATACCTGTCAAAATTAAAAATTAATTTTCTAAAAAGCCCACAAAATTGCCTTTAAGGAAACTTGGAAACTTCAAATATAGGATAACAGAACAGCCATGCTTTCTTTTTAAAGTAAATGAAAATAACTGAAGAAAAAAGTCCTTGGGGTCTCTCTCCTTCATATTGTCCACATAAAACCAGATACAGTTGTGCAGATTGCAATTCCCTCCCCTTTTTGCCTTTGAAAAAGCTCCCTCCCAGTCTACTCTTCTACGCTATTACAAGGAAAGAGTTAGAAATACCTTTTTCTATCAGTTGCCTCCACCTCTTGGCCCAATCAACCAGCTGCTGAGCATATGCCTTCTCAATCTTGGCTCGTTCATGGACACAATTCATCAGATCATTGCAAAGCCGATATCCATCATCAATCCGCTTCACTGTCCGCTTATAATTCCCCACCTGCCAGGTACATGAATAGTTGCCTAGAATAAGCGACTGGCTGTAGTTCCAGGACATCAGGGGAGGGGGAAACCTGCACCCTGCAGGAAGCATGTGTATCAGAGGGTGGGGAACAGGAGAAGTGGGGGAGAAGAGGGGGCATCTGATTTCAAAAGAGGAAAAACTCTTGAAAATGTGATTGCCATGGTTATACTTCTGCCTCTATACAGAAAATTCTGACTCTTCCTTTCAAACAACAGATACTTGATAGGTTAAATTTGATGCATTTGCACAAATACTGGGAAGGAATCAGAAGGCTTACTAAAGAAGAGCCTCAGAATTTTCCAGCTGACGTAGCTCTGGGACATTTTGCAATTATTGTAATGTCTTAGAGCTCTGCCATAGTGCAATGCTAAAATTTAACCATTCCCTTTTCAGCATGAAAGGTATATTTTGGGAGTAAAGAGTACAAGAGTAAAGATTCCTCTCCTGCAAAATGGGTGTGTGTGTGTGTATGTGCTCACAATGATTGTGCAATCTGTCAATGTGCCATTCTCATCTAGTTAGCCTGAACTTTTTGCTCTTTCAACACAGTGATTCCACTTTATTAGAAATCATTCCATGAATGTGACATTGTATTTTAAATCAGCCAAATAGGTTTGGCTATCTGGTGAATTAGAATGACTAAGAATGAGAGCAAAGCCAATGCACTTCTTTTTTAGCAACTACAAATAACTTTCACTAAGCCTAAATTTACAACATCCCTCTTTCCCTGAATGATGAATATGGTCTCCTTTTTGACCAGCAAAATTATTTATCACTAATTTATTATAATTATTTAAGTATATTTTACCTTTTAAGATAGAAATCCTACCAAGTATTTCATAAATTAATGGTCGTAAGTAAAAATTGTTATCGTTGTCATAATACAATTTCTAAAATCCTTCTCAATAATAACATTTGTCATTTTGACATGTATTTCATTGGACTGAATGTATAGTTTTGGAACATCTGTTTAAAAAAGAAACAACTGTATGCCAACACCTGGATGCTGGTGGTATAAGCCAACTTTCATTTGAGAAATACTCTGTTATCAAAGGCTTTAGTACATCTAAAGCACTTTTAACCCCAGCAGGGCAGAGAAATGGTTGTGGCCCATCCTTTCTTTCTGAATCATTTTAAAGTATCTGTTTATGAGATCTCTTTCTCACTGCAAAGAAAAGGAATTTATTAATGCAAGCTTCATAAACATCACATCTAAGATGCTGATCAGACAAAGGGGGACTGTCCTGAAAAATCTGATAGAAGATGGCTTTTTTTCTTTGCATCTCCTCTAGTTCTGACATCAGCAAGGCCTTCTCTAGAAAGCTTCTGGAGGAAACAAGCAAGGACTTCAGATTTTTTTTCTGTGAAGGTTACACCTCTCTGATATCAGGGAAAGAAATATGAAAAATCTGATAGAACCTTGGAACTATGAGAACTTCTAAACCAGGGCTGTCAAACTCCTGGCTCATGGACTGGCCACGCCTACACCTAGTTTAGCAAAGGGGAAAAAAGTCCTGATACATCATGTGATGCTGCCGTGATGACATGAGTTTGACACCCCTGCTCTAAACATATTTGCTTTTTGAAGTGACTGTGTTCCCTAGTTCCATGGGTTTTCAGCATCCTCAGTAAGAAAATGGGCGTTGGTTCTTACCTGATACGCCTCTTCTCGTGGAACTGCGTAGAGCATCCAGAGAGTGGGAGGTGCTCTAGTCTTCACTCTTACAGGCTGAGCTATAATTGAAGGAACGCTCCTCCTCCTCCACGTGACTCCTCCATGTGTTCCCCCAGTTTTACGAAGACGAGAGGACAGCAACGATCCTCTAAACTCAACTAATATACAACTCAACTACAACAATAAACATCATTGGCTGAAACAGGATTCCCCACCAGACGGACTAATTAGGGTGGGGCTGGATGCTCTACGCAGTTCCACGAGAAGAGGCGTATCAGGTAAGAACCAACGCCCATTCTCCGTAGAACTGCTCCGAGCATCCAGAGAGTGGGACATACCAAAGCATGGCTGTCCTACGGGAGGGACTCCGTCTGGTTCGGAATCTCCTCTGGCTCTCTCGCCACTTGCTGAAGGACTCGCCTGCCAAAAGATGCCTCAGCCGAGGCGTAAGCATCGATTTTATAATGACGGATAAAGGGAGACGGAGATGCCCAGGTGGCCGCCCGACAGATGTCGTGAATTGAAGCCTGGGTAGCCCAGGCTATCGAGGTAGCTGCACTCCTGGTAGAGTGAGCGGTTATCCCACTAGGGACCGGCAGAGCTTGAGCTAGATAGGCCTTGGATATGGTAGCCCTAATCCAGTGGCCAACAGTAGACGGGGATACCTTGCAACCCAGCGTCTTTGGCTGAAAGGGCAAAAACAGAGACTCGGACTTCCTGATAGACTGCGTCCAATAGATGTATATGCAAAGAGCCCTTCGAACATCGAGAGTGTGCTACTGCCTTTCCCTTTCTCGAGAAGGCTTGGGACAAAAATTAGGCAGAACCAATTCCTGTGCCCTGTGAAAAGCCGAGTTGATTTGAGGCATAAAGGCGGGGTCTGGTCTCAGAGCCACCCGATCAGTGTGGAAAACACATAAGTCCTTTCGCACGGATAGAGTTGCTATTTCAGATATCCTTCTTGCCGATGTTATCGCCACAAGGAACACCACTTTGAATGTGAGAAACTGAAGTGGCACCTCCCTGAGAGGCTCGAAGGGAGGTTTAGTTAATGCCATAAGAACCTTATTAAGATCCCAGGTAGGGTATCTGTGAATCACTGGGGGGTGCAGAAGAGCTGTCTGCAACCACTGTTGACAGGGCTGCGACCAGTCTTCTCAGGGTGTTGGGGGAGAGGCCCCTGTCTAACCCATCTTGTAGGAAGGCCAGGATTTGTGCAATTGAAGGAGAGAGCGGATCAATGGATGGCTTATGGCACCACCTGCAAAAAAGGTTCCAGGTTGCGTTATAAATGCGGGTAGACGAAGGCCGCCTTGCCGCCAGGATGGTATTGATGACTTGGACTGAGAGGCCCTCATCTTTTAGCCTTTCCCGCTCAACCTCCAGACGGCTAACTGAAGCCACTGAGGATTTGTACTGAAGAAGTCCCTGGGCTAGCGGGCTCCTGCCCGATGGGATCCTCCAGGGAGGACCCACTGAAAGGTTACGAGGGTCTGCAAAAACCATGGTCTCCTGGGCCAGTGCGGGGTAACCAGGAGGAGTTCCGCCCTCCCGTGGATCAGCTTTAGGATCACTTTGGCGATTAGCGGTAGAGGGGAAATTGCGTAAGAGAGCTCGGAAGGCCAGGACCAATGTAAAGCATTGTGATTCTCTGCCCCTTGGGGAGTACCTGGAGAAGAATCCCGGTACATGGGCGTTGAGCCGGGACGCGAATAGGTCCCTAGGGGGTGGCCTAATATCGCTGAGGCCTCCTCTGCATTATTAATTTTAGCAGGGAGGAAGGAAGGCGCCATCCTGCCTAGTCTAAGGTGGCCCTGCTCAAGCCGTCTGGCCGAATGTTGAGACTCCCGAAATGCGATCTGCCCTGACGGGCAACCGGTTGGTCCCCGCCCAGCAACAGAGACGCTCGGCCTCCCTCATGAGACGGATGTCATGTCTGCCCCCCTTGTCAGTTTATATGCGCCTTGATTGTAATGTTGTCTGCCAGGACCAGTACGAGGCGCCCGCATACTTAAGGAAAGTGCGTAGGGCCAGGTATACTGTGTGAAGCCTCCGCCAGTTTATACTGCACCTTTGCTCGGTTGCTGACCCGGTGCCCTGAGCTGAGATCGAGTGGATATGGGCCCCCCATCTGGGTAGGCTGGCGCGTGTCGTGAGGGTAACCCCTGGGGACTCCTGAAGAGATGCCCCTGTTGATCACGGGTCTGGTCCGCCAAGGCAGCGATGTGAAAACCCTTGAGGGAACCTTTGCCACGGCTCTCGAATTGCTCCTTCCAGAGCGGTGATAAGGTAGCAGGAACCACTGTATAGATCTGGAATAGAGCCGGGCCCAGGAAAAAAATGAATAAGCATGAGACCAAATTGCCCAGTAATCTAGAGAAGACCAGTAATGGCGTCCTTCTTGTTCGCCTAATGTTCCTGATCAATTTCTGAATACTGAGAAATCCTTCAGGGGAAGGGAAAACCGTCCCTTCAACTGAGTCAATCACGGCTGCTAAGTGAGCTATTCAAGTGGGAGGGGTAGAAGACTCTACTCCCATTGTACAAGAAGATCATGGACCTGAAGAATCGAGAGGATGGATCTAGTGTCCCCTTCGGCATGGCATTTGTTAAGAGAAAGAATGAGGATATCATCCAGATAATAGAGACTATGAATGGGGGAGTCTCTGAGGTGAACTGATGGGATCGCCAGAACCCTGGTAAGGATCCTCGAGGTCAAGGCTGGACCAAGGGGAAGGGCCACATGTTGAAAAGGTTGACCAGTATAGCCAGGTCTCAGAAATTTAAAGAATGAGGGATAAGTGGGGATGTGGAAGTACGCTTCTGAGAGGGCAAAGGAGGTGAGCTAGTCTCCCCTCCTAGTGCCCTGCATAAGGGACCGAAGTGTAAGCATCTTGAACCATGATGGACCACCTTAAACCTGTTCAATCTAGGGAGGGCCTCCAGTCTCCGGAGTGTTTAGGAAGTAGGAAAAAGTGGGAATAGAAACCCCATTCCTCGGAGCAAGGATGGTACGAGCTGTATGGCTTCGATCTTGGTGAGGTGTTAATAGTGGTTCCCATGAGAACACGCTTGGTGCGGCCTCTGGGGAGAGGGGAAACCCTGAAATGCTCCTGAGAGGGGGACTGAAAACTCAAGGGAGAGGCCAAGTCTAACATTGTCCCTAACTCAAATATCAGAAGTGAGTGATCCCCATTGGTCGGCAAACTATGTGAAGTTGACCGCCAATGGGGTAGGTAGCTGGAAGCCTTATCTAGGGCGCTGGGACGATCTACTTCCTGCGCCCCGGAATGGTCTCCTGTAGCTGACTCCCCTCCTGTTTCTGACACCCGTGTCGCTCCGGTCCTGAAAGGCCGTCCGAAAGAGCGGGGTTCTCTGAAATCTGGGGAAGAAGGGAGCCTAATAGGGGAAAAGGCCGGGTCCCCTTAGAAAGAGTTGGGACACTCTGGACTCCTGTCAGAGACAGGTCAATGGGAGAGATTTCTTTTATTTAGGCTCTCCATAACAAAGGTTCCGGAACTGGACTAATACTTTGCCCCCGAGATGGGACCAGAAGCCAATTCAGCTGTAGTCTTAATGTCTGCCTGCCAGTGTTTAAGCCAAAGCGACCGCCGGGCTGTAACGTGAGAGGAAATAGCCCAGGAGGAAATTTTAGCGGAGTGGAAGGCAGCGTAGGCCGCAAATTCCGCTGCGGCCGTAGCGTGGAAAAGTCCTGGTGCGCCCTGGTGCTAGAGGGGGGGGACATACAGCTTCAACTGACGAAGCCATCTAATAGAGGATCGAGAGAGAAGGATACAGCCGTGGCTGATCAAACGGCCCAAGCATCGGATTGATGCGCCCGACGTAACGTCGTCTGGGCCCGCTTGTCCTCTGGCCTTAGGGCTTCCAGATCGCCAGTTGGAGTAGAGGACGATGCTAGACTTACTATGGAGTCATCCACCTCTGGGGTGTGTGGCAGGGAAGAGAGATCCGCATCGAGAATAAAAGATCTCTGACTGACTGGAGGGAGCGAAGGGGGGGGGGGGCTGAAGAGGCCAACTGTTTTGCTGCTAAGCCGGAGAAATGAGTGGAGTAGGAATGACCTCGGTCTCCACGACCGGCTGAAAATAGGATCCTCTGGAACTCCAGAGGCTGCTGGGGCGGCATTAGAGAGTAACTGGGACATCAAGCCCGAAATATTGTTCGCCTTGATTAGCAAGGATTGGAAACAAATGGGGTTCAAACAAGCCCATGAATGCGGGCTGGTCAGAGGTTCAGACTAGTGTAAGGACCCCCTATCTGATCCTTCCGTTTCCCTGAAGGGCACGAGGCCCATTTCCACTTCCTCCACCCCTTCTGGAAAGGGAATCTCCCCTTTGGGGAAATACCTGACCATGGTGAAGTTCCGGTTTGGGGAGGTATCTGCCAGAGACTGATTCAGCATCAGGAACCGTTGCTTGAGGACCTGGTCTGGTCATCTGTTGGATACCCTCCGCGATCCCTCAGCGGATTTCCAGCTGCCTCCATTCTCTAATGCTGTCTGGAATAAGGACCGCGGATGGTTCCTCTGGTCACAAGCCAGCAGCGGTCGTGAATGTAGTCTCAGTGTCCGGGAGACCTGGAGGCCCCGAACAGGTGAACTGCGCTGAGAGGAGAAAGTTGTTCTGGCAGGGGGGTGGGTTATGTGGAAGCAGAGGGAAAATTAGGAACTGGGGTTACAGATTGAGAGCCCTTTGAACGTTTATAGAATTCCTTCCCCAAGCCTTGGTCGCCTAAGGCGTTTTATCTTTTTTTCTTTGAGAAGCCTTGGATGAGTCCTTGGCCCTTTTGCGCAAATGGTGCGTCTCTGACTTAGCCTTCAAGGAAGGACCTCTGGGATTGACTTCTGCCATGATAAAATACCAGGTACAGAGCAATATCAAATAAAGAGGCGGTTGGCACGCCTAGGTGTACGGCCTATAATGTGGGCCAGATATCCTATCGTTGGGCCGCGTCCCCTTTTTGGTAAAAATATTTTTTGGTTGTATCGTAATATATATGTTCAATTTAAATTTATTTTATTTATTTATTTTATTTCTTTATTATTGTTATTATTATTATTATTATTATTATTATTATTATTATTATTATTATT